CGGACAACGTGGGGAGAGTCGGTGCGGCGGAGGACCTCCATCTCGCGGAAGAGCTGACGGCGTACTGTGGGGTCGTTGGAGTCGCCATGGACGAGTTTGAGAGCGTAGGTCGTGGATGTCCGCTTGTGATTTACCTTGTAGACGGTGCCGCTGTTACCGTGGCCGAGGACTTGGAGTTTCTCGAGATCGGCGGCGGACATAGTGCCGAAGGAAGAGTTGTTTGTGACGGCGGTGATGGGAGGGAGGGGAACGGAGAAACATGGGCGGCACTCAGAGGGTTCGGGCAAGGGGAGGCGGAGATTAAGCTGGCGGCGTTGTCGAATGAGAGCCATTTGTTTCTATTTTGGATGTGTAATGTGTTGGTGGAGAGGAGTGGAGTGGAGTATTTATATAGTGTTTCCTTTTTCCTAATACAAGTAGGAGTGAGAAAAGAACCTGCGGGCCAAGCAGTCGGCATCACCCAAATGGACCCCAACTTTTTCGGTTTAGGATAGTTTTGTTTAATTCACTAATTTAAACATAATTATCTACATTTGGATTTCAAAACATTTACTAGTAGCTATGATATATTCATAATCTTGTTAAATCCATATCCCTCAACGCTTAATAGTTATCTGCCAACATCTTCTATCTTTTGCAATAAAATTGATCACCTTTGGGAGTAATCTGCCTTTTATAATCAAATATTTTATTATTTTAAAAAATCGCAAAAAAGAAAAAAGAAAAAAGAAAAATAGAAGAAGTGCACGATAAAGATTTCAACCTAAAACTTAATTAATCTTTTAGATTTCTTCTGATTTGGTCTTTTCAGGGAGCCATGCTACAATAATGTGAGTTGCCTTGGATTGATATTACTAATTTTGTGATCTTGGTTAAGTTGTGGAATCTATCCATTTTGGTAACATCAAATTTTGATTTGTTTTTCCTAATTCAACGAGGAACACTAGGTTACTGTTAGTGTTTATAGCTCTATACAAATGAGAGCCTTGTAACCTATGGACAAATAACTTTGATTAATATCTCTTGGTCCATTCCCATTTCATGATTCACATTTTTCAATAGGCCAAACATGTACCTGTTTACCAAATATCTTTTGCTGGTTGCTCTCTTCATTGCTTTGTTGGAACTTGGAGGTACCATTAGCACAACAGTCATATTTCCAAATGAACTAATTCTTTGGCTGTTAATGAAAGTGGAAAATTTCCTTCCAACATTGAAGCAAATCCTAAAGGTTTTTATTCGCGTGAAATTGAATGCGAACATGTAAAGTACTGTTATTTATCTTAGAAATGGAAAGAAAAAAAAATGATACTACACCTCCATCTAAAGAGGTTGAAAAATCTAAGAGCAATAACCAACTTGACAAGTCCAAGGAAAGTGAAATTGTCGAACACTATCGACTCTGTTAAGCATTGTTGTGTGGGAAATTTTATATTATTTAATAATATTTAATTTCTATAGTGAATGAAAAATAAGTTTCTCTAAGAGACGTGTCTTAGTTTCTCCAACAGGTCGGTTTCCTTAGATTTGTGCATGTTGCTTTTCAAAGCATAATGATGCAAAGGTTGTATCTCTTGAACTTACACTAATTCATAGATACGTTGTTTTATCAGGAGTGGATTGAGTTTTATATAAATCAAGCACCCTTCATCAACTTGAATATCTCCTTAGGATGGAGAGAGTTCTTTTAGTGAAAAATAGAGTATAGGGAGAGTATTCCCCTATACTCTATTTTATCTTTTTTGTTAAATACTTTTGAGGTTTGTCTTAAGAGTACAAATATATGATTGATTCGCCAGAGTCTTAAATTGAAGTGCTTCAATTTAGGATTATCGATTGTTGAATCCTGGGATATGGACGCCTATAGAATTGCAAGCACAAGGGTAGGGGCGAAATCTGTCTTTAGGATATTGCAATTCTTGCAAGCCTCGATCGCTGTCAGTATTTCTATTCGTGTTTATTGATTTACATTAATTTCATGTAAATTTGTTAATATATTTGATTATTACAATTCTGTTGAGAATTATTATTATCTTTAAATTCATATTTCCTATTGTTCCACAACACGTTGTTCTATTTGACGGGCATCATTTCCAACTATGAAGAAGAGAAGGAAAGGCTCTGCACACGATATGAACAACTGAGTAAGCAACAAAACTCCTTTACTCCTCCTTATAGTGAAATCGAATACACCAAAAATTTATGATGGGTTGATGTCATGTTAGGAAAGAAAGAAAGGAGTCTGATATCTGAGCATGAGAAAGCTTTACTGATAAAATTCGCTACACTGGAAGAGTCATTGAAAAAGAAGAAGCAGGTACCCCCTCTCTCTCTCTCTTCCTTGAAAAATAAAACGAAGAAGAAGCTTGTACTGATATCTCTATGTATATGCAACATGTCTCAAAAGTACATTTTCTGCTTATAAACTGAGGATGACAGAACTTTCAGCGTTCTAAGAAAGACTCTTGACTCATTTCTGGAGAGTGACGAGGACATCCGGCTGATGATTGAATGAACATTCAACTGTTTGAGCTCACTCTAGTTACTCTTTCCCCCTAAAATATGTTACGTTTATTAATTGACATGGTACACGTTTCTGCCATAGGTGTAAAGTTGATTTCCATATACAGTACCACATTATTACATGCTGCATGTGCAAAATGTTTAAAATTAGTCACAAATTTTCCTCTCTACACTTTCTAGGCACGCCTCACATAAGCAGTTTAATGAACAGGATTGGCAGGGGGAGAGGTCGTTGCCCCTGTTGAACAGACCATGGAGGGCGCTTGTTGTGTTCCTACAGATAAAAGCATTTCACATCCAGTCAAACATATGAAACACAAGCAATTGCATTCTGATCTATTTATAACTACTATATATAATATACAAATGTAACAAATGACAATACATGTTGTTTCGTAAGTGTTTTCTTATTATTCTCCCTTATAATAATAACTATTACAAATGAAACAACATGACGTCTATAAATGTGAGAGCACATCTAATGCAAGGGGCAAGGGGCTAGGTGCTGTTTTAGCTCTTCAAAATGGTACTATTCACAAAATCTTGTCTCTCAAATTTTTTGTGCTTCTGCTGGTGGTGAGAGGCTAGGAGCTCAAAATTTGTTATTTTAGTTTATTATTATTTTATTTGTGAAAAAAAAAAATCAAAGCATAAGAAAAGCAACACAAAAATTTATTTTTGAGCCATACTTTAGAACAACAATTTTGAGCAAAATGAAAAAAGAAAAACAAGTAGAAATGTTTGAAGTAATTGAGAGATTTTTTAGGTGAGAAAGTGAAACAAAAGAAAAAAAGGGTCAACTAGTTGGGAACTGGAAAAAATAAAACAAAAAAAAAACAAAAAGAAAAAAAAGATCAACAACTATAGCCGTTAGACCATTACCATTGTGGGCGCCACGAGGCAGCTCCTCAATGGTAATTGCAATTGAAAAAGACAGCAAAAGCTGTGCCTTTTTTGAAAAATTGTTTTTACAAAAACTGGCCGTGGGGCTATTCTTGCCCGAGCCAGCTATGGGGCAAAACCAGTGCCTTACCTCTTCTAAGTTTTGTTTCAAAGGAAATCTGTCTTCATTTTGGGGGAGGAAAAGAGAGAGGGTGGCGGTTGGTGTGGTTGGGGGAGGATAAGAAATATCATCTTATAACCAGGCAGTTCAAAGAGAATATCTCATCCCTGTCCTTGGTAATTTCTAGATAACCATGGAAACAAAGTTCTAGACTTCGCCAATAACTTCTTACAAAATTTCTAATTTCACATATGAACAGAAAAAGGGGGGAAAAAAAAAAGTATTTTCATGTAATTCAAAGATTATCCTCAAAATTTGTCTTGAACGCTAGCCTATTGGCACATACACAATTAATGGTTGTAATATGTTTCCCCTCGAGGCTCGGGCACCTAGAAGGGTGTTCACCTTGCTCCTTGCATATTGAACATTCCAAGAGAATTTCACGTCCATTGCAATAGGCGACATCCGGCACAATATGAGTCTCTAAAGCAGGAGCTGCATATATTACAAACAACCACACAACCCTTGCCAAGAGTTGCGCTCATTGGCACATGATACTCATAAGGGCATAGTTGTGCAATATGCTCACTCACCTTTAAACAGTACCTACATTCATTTGTGTGCAATTTGTAGATTCATTGTTAAATACAACAAAAGTAAGAAAAATAATAATTGTGAGCACATGACAATGAATGAATGAAGATGAAAAAACCCAAAAATCAGTATTGTGAGCACATGACATAGAATTACAACAAATACGATATTATATCATAAGAAGAGGCATCTTCGAAATTGCATAACACATTTTACAAGAAAAGAATGGATTGAATGACCCTAATCAACGTGTTGTACATATTCTATATTTCATGTTAGTTTAGATCACACATTATATTGGGGTCATGCACTGCTTCTTTCTTTGAAGGCTTTTTATCACAAAACGTCCCAGCCGTTTGCGAAACTATTAGATTTGCATTCTTAAAGTTTTTTTGTATCACTCATTGTCCCTAACGTTAATATAGGTGCTTTTAAATAGTCAATCTATCAAAAAAATATTAAATTCAAGGATATAATCGTCAAATCAATCCAAAATTATAAAAAAAAAATATTTTTTATTTCCCTCCCCTGTCTCTTTCTTGTCTTCTTCTTCTTCTTCTCTCTCCGCCAGATTCCTTAAGGATGGTTTGCTTCTCATAATCTCTCTCAAGTTTGCAGACAGAAAGTTGTGGTGTCTGTTCACTTCAATTCAACCCACCCTCAATTCAATCTCTCTCTCTCTCCCTCGCTCTGAAGTTCTTCCATGGCAGCTGGGCACTTCGCCGCCACAACCCCCAAGCCCATCCGTCTCATACAATCCTCATACCTCCTCGCAAAACCCAACCCAACTATCTTCTTCCCACCTTCGAATCTTCGCCACCAAAAATAAACACTTCATTATAGGGCTCGAAGGAAGCTCTGTTTCACTGTCTATGTCGTCATGGAGGACCAAAAGCAGAGTACCCATCTCGAGAATTGCACAGAAAAAGCCCAAGAGGCTGCTAATTCTCAGATCCCAATTGTAATTCCGTCCGTACGTGTGGCTGAGAAGTTGTCCAGGAAGAAATCGGAGAGGTTCACTTATCTTGTTGCTGCGGTGATGTCCAGCTTTGGTATTACTTCCATGGCTGTCATGGGCTGTTTATTACAGATTTTACTGGCAAATGGAGGTACCCAATTTCTCTCTGCTCCCAAAACCACAAAAGTTACGAACTTTATCTTCTCTGGTTGAGTTTTTGAATTGGGTGATTTTGTTTTCTGTGTAGGGTGGGAATGTGCCTTTGTCTGAAATGTTGGGTACATTTGCTCTATCTGTTGGTGCTGCTGTAAGTTCACTGACGGCTTCTCAATTGGGGAAACTTAATTAAATTAAATTTATTTTGAAGTTTTTTCTCAATTGGGGAGTGTATTCAATTGAGATTTTAATAGATTGTAATTACATGATTTTAATGTAATGGATTTCAACCGGATTTGTAATTATTTGATTTTACTCATGATTTTAATATATTGCAATTACATGATTTTACTTATAATTTTAATTTACTTAGGATTTTACTTATGATTTTAATAGATTGCAATTACATGATTTTACTTATATTTCTATACAAGCTTGAACTCTATCACCCATCATCATTCACCTAAATACATAATCTGAAGGAATATACCCAATTTTTAGGATACAGATACCCAATTTTTAGGGTTAATACAAAGATGGAGGCACAGTAACGATCAAAGGTTAGTCCAGGGAGAGTACACCGACATCAAACAATGTAACTCCTAACATAGCCACACATAGCCAAAATGAATACGTTAAAGATAACGAGAGCCTAGACATAACATGCAAGAACACCACTCACCTGAGCACTCAACTACAAATGCAAAACTACCATTAACTTTCACAAGCAAAATACAAGGAGAGAATCATATGTAGCACACTCAAAGGAGTTGAAGCAAATAATACAACATAAAATTAGTCCTTCCTTTCTGTAATCAAAAGTAATTCCTCTCTGCCATAATAATATTACATAATAATCTTGTGTGCATTATCTAACTAAGGAGGCTTAAACCATACAAGCTTATCGAATTCATGCATGCGACTTATAAACCTTCATGAATTGATAATACAGTTATTATCTAACTTCATTAGAAAATCATTTGTGCACAAATTACTCAAAACACAGATTCATCCCACCCATTATTTCACTAACAATGTTATTCCATACATCAACGGATTTATCACACAGTGAACTAAACCTAATACATAATTCAATTAAAATGCCACTACCAATATACATAATTCAACTAAAATGCCACAACCAAAATACATAGTTCCACAAAAATACCAAAAATAAAATTCAATTGAGGCTACTTAATAGACAAAGTTCAACCAAAGAAGTTTACTACTATATCATACATCATACATAATTATCTCTCCTGGTCTAGTCCAGGTGTTGATGCTTGAGGTGTTGTGTGTTTCTAAATTATTTCTGTTTGCCTCTCATTCATCTTTGCCATAATTCTCCCTGCCTTTTGATAATCTCTTGGTTGGATAACATGCTTTTCGTTTAAAGTCAGCAAATAAATTATACAATACTTTACATGTCTTTCAGCAAAATAATCTTGTTTTGATAGGATTTAAAAACTGAAGTGTTAATGGAGTGAGTGGCTGGGAGAACATCGCTAATAGAGAACAACCATGAAGACGCAAAATGTATACAACTAGCGGTAGTTAATGGATAGATAACCATGAAAAGATGCAAAACGTATACGAACATCGCTAGTATAGAGAACAACCATGAAATGGGAGCTCTTTTCAGATGTGTCTGTTTATCTTCTCCCAAAAGAAAAACAAAGAACGTGAGAATCAGGCATACGAGGGTGATATTTTTTAAGGGGTTTGGTATTTATATCACCCATTCAAAAGTCTCACACAATACATCATTTAATAAAATACTTCAAAATCGGTAAGTTTTTGAATACCACGGTATTTTATCTTATCTTTTAAAAGTCCTAATCGCATACCACCAGACTTGTATTTATAATTTAAAAATCCTAATTGAATACCACTAGATTTTTATTGATTACTTACAAATCCTAATTGAATACCATTAAATTTTTAAGCTTCAAAACAATCAATTAAAATCTACATCCCCTAAATCGATTTGGATTTTATATATGTATATTTTAAGTGGGAATGGAGTTTTGGGCAAGATGGGCTCATAAAGCTCTCTGGCACGCTTCTTTATGGCATATGCACGAGGTTTGCTTCGAATTTTGCTACTTTTTGTTATCTCTTGTTTCTTTTCGTTCACTGGAAACCAGCAATGAAAGAAACATGACAAACTTGAGTTTTTATATTGTTTTTCCATTCAGTTTCTTAGTAACCAATCAGTGTTTGATATTTGATATGAACTTTAATTGCAGTCTTACCACCGACTCAGAGAAGGTCCATTCGAGCTTAACGATGGACTGAAACAGAGAGAGAAGAGATAAGGAATCTGGCGGAGAGAAAGAAGAAGAAGAAAAGAAAGAGAAAAAAAGAAGAAGAAAGAAAGAGAGAAGGGAAAGAAATTTTTTTTTTTTTTTTTTTTTTTTTTTTTTATTGACTTGATTTATATCCCTTGATTTAACAGTTTTTTTAACAAATGGACTATTTAAGAGCACCTATATTAACGTTAGGGACCATGAGTGATACAAAAAAACTTTAAGAATACAATTTGATAATTTCGCAAACGTCAGGGACGTTTTGTGATAAAAAGCCTTCTTTGAATGAAGTTCAATGGAACTGCAGTCTCTCTTTCTCCTTTTACATTGTTATCAAATTTTATGCTGGTATGGTAGCAAATTAGCAATGCACCATAACCCAGTCTTACTATCTGGCAATGCCATCAAGTTGGAAACACCCCTTGTCGCATTTTAGATAGTATCATGATGAGTCATAGACGCTCCTTCTAGTGTAAAAATCTAATCTCAAGTCAAGTAAGCATTTCTTATTGGGCTTATTTATTTGGGTGATTTTCTTTCATTTCTCTATTGTTTTAACATGCCTCGTAAGTTTTGTGAACTTTGAGATTAGCTCAAATAAATTATACTTAAAAAAAAAGATTATATTTCATTAAACCAAAATGAATATTACATGGTAAGAAAACGTATTAACGGCGGTCTCGTTAAAAACTTTCCAGAGAAAACAAAATCCCGTAGTAAAAAAGAGTACCACCCATGCTATTGACTAAACAAAAGAGTCAAACAACTTATACGAAATAGACAAACCTAAAACCCAACCACAAAACCCTTAAAACAACATCCTATCACTACATAGGTACTGTCAAAGAAGTCCTCCTATGATTTAGAGAAAGCATCATAGTTCTTCGTATAGAGTAAAAAACGTACTATGGGTATCAGAATAGATCCAGCCAATCACCCAACCGCAAAACCATTGAATCACATCCTATCACAACACAGGTATTGTCAAAAAAAGCTTCCTGTGATCTAAATAAAGTATCATAGTTCTTCGTATTGAGTCAAAAACGCATTGTGAGCATCATAACAACACCAACCGCCACCTCCAAGACCAAGATTGGCCTCTTAACCTAAAGAAATTTCCAAAGAAAGATCTTCATAGAAGGAATGTTTATCGTTTGCCAAGCCTACAAACGTTCCATAGGAGAATTATTAGGGAGACCTTGGAGACCCCTCGAGGCGGGTCTCCTCCGTCTTGTCAACAAAATTCTCGATACAAAAACTACGCTTATTAGAGAAAACCATGCCACTAACAATCAGATGCCTAACACCAGTTTCTACAATAACATTGATTAGATTGCGGGCAATTATATCCAACTACTTCCAAAAACTCCTCCGTCTTGTCAACAAAATTCTCGATACAAAAACTTCGCCCTCATATCATGATTCATATGCAAGCATGACACTGCCATATCACTTGGTTCCGCCTTCCCTCTTTTATGTGTACGATTTTATTATAGTGTATAGACCATGTATTGCAAACTGCAATTCATTTGCAACAAAAAGAAAACGCAATGTAGACATCAAATGATGATAGGATGTATGGCTAAACAAAAGTATGACATCGATGGCAAACGACATAAAAGACCACTTCTTTTTCTTTTTCTTTTATTGTATACAGTCAATCTCATCCAACATAGGGATATAGGGCCACATGTAGGAGTCAATCTCGTCCAGATCTACTCATGAAGTTACTCTACATGTCTACGAAGATTACAATTATTCAAAAATATTTAAAACAAAAATTCTAAAAATTTGTTGAAATTGAAATTAACATTTAATCTTTGCTTTAACTTTTAGAGTACCATTAACTCTCCATTCTCTGCCATTTCAATACAAACGACAAGAACCAGTATAAGGGTCACACAAAAAAAAAGAAGGTTTCCCCTCGCGGCTCGGACATGTAAAAGTCAAGTGTTCACCTATCTTCCCACAATGTAAACAATCCATGAGAACTGCACATCCATCGCTTATACCACAACTGCCACAACATGAGTCTCTAAAGAGGCAACCACAAAAATTACAAACTACCACACACCTCTTGCTAACAATTGCGTTCTTTGGGACGTGATACTTGTAAGGGCATGTTTGGGTAAAGTGAACACCCACCTTTAAACAATACTCACATTCACGACCTGTATGAAATATGTTGATCCATTGTTAAATACAATAAAAGCAATAAAAAGAATTAGTTATTATTATATATATATTTTTAAAACAATGAATAAATGAAGATGATAAAACTCAAAAATCAATATTATGAGCACATTACATAGAATAACAACAAATACATAGATGTTATAAGAGATTAAAATATATATATATATATGTAAATAGAGAAACTGTAGGCGCATTTTTTTTTGGTCCCTAAAATCAAAAGCTTACCAATAAGTTTTTCAATATCTGATTCATCAGTATCCGATTCATCAAACAATGATACATCAGTATCCGATTCATCATCCTTGCCCCCTGTTTCTATGCAATTACATTGTTAAATACACAAAGAAAAAAGGTGATGATGTTAAAAAACTTAGAAGGAATGACATCTATGATCCCATCAACAAATAACGATATTATTAAATAATAATATATCGGCTATGCATCATGCACACACCAAAATAACTTGGCTAGAAAAAAAATCTTCAAAAACTGATTCAAAATTTTGGAATAATATGGATGTTATGTCATAAGAGATTAAAAAAATGAATATATGTAAATAGAGAAGCTATAGGCGCATTTTTTGCTTTTTTCATTTGACCCTAAAATCAAAAGCTTACCAATAAGTTCAACAGTGTCTGATTCAACAGCCTGTGATTCAACAATCTCTGATTCAACAGCCTTGCTCCCTGTTTACATGCAATTACATTGATAAATACTAAATAAATAAATAAAAAGTGATGATGTGAAAGAAGTTAGAAGGAATGACATCTATGATTCCATCAACAAATAACCATATTATTAAAAATCGGCTATATCATGTACACACCAAACTAACTTGGCTGGAAAAAATCATTTCCAAAAACTGATTCAAAATTTTGGCATAATATAGATGTTATGTCATAAGAGATTAAAAAAAAACAAATATCAGTAAATAGAGAAGCTGTAGGCGCTTTTTTTTTCTTTGACCCTAAAATTAGAAGCTTACCAATAAGTTCAACAGCCTCCAATTCAACAGTCTTGCTCCCTGTTTCCATGCAATTATATTGTTAAATACAAAAAGAAAAACAGTAATGATGGCAAAAAAGTTAGAAGTAATGACATCTATGATCCCATCAACAAATAACGATATTATTAATGCATCATACACACACCAAAATAAATTGGCTGGAAAGAAAATCTTCAAAAACTGTTTCAAAAGTTTGGCATAACATAGCATTTATGGATAGTTATCCAATGATGCTATCATGCCCACCGCTCTAATTTATTTGTTTTGCCAGGAAATCTCTTTCCGCTAAACCTGTGTTGTGTCTAGATAGAAATTTTCCCGAATCTGTTTTGTTTGTTTTGCATCTTTTTGCTTTCTCCTTGTAATCTGTTCCTCAGGTTTATGGGGTTTCTATGATTATTTTTTATTACGACCAAAAAAAAAAAATTGCACATAATTTTCGTCACAAACCCTTAAATTAAACGAAAGAGGAAAAACATACTGTTTGGCTCTGGCCGGTGGATTTGCAAAGGTGGAGACACGAGGCCGCTGTCCATGACTGTGCGTGCTCGAAAGGGAAAAACGCCGCTTTGGATTTAGGGTAAATATAAAAATGCCGCTTGGGATTTAGGGTAACAGGCTTCAGTAGGCTGCAGAATCCTAACGTCTATAGGAATCCTGGTACAACACGGACTCCGCGCCCTCATTTAGAAGGTTTTACTATTTTAACGTCTATCAGAGAGAAAAAGGAAAAAAAAAGAAAAAAAGAAAAGACTTTACTATTTTAACTTTTTTTAAATAAAAAAAAATTTGAAAACCGAGTAACGGATCACCTCGATCTCGACCTCTCCAAGTTCGTTTTCCTATAATTTCTTCTTCATCTTTTTTATTTTTGCTCGTAGATTTGTGGACGAAGTTATGAGACTGAGATTGTGGTTGAATTTTACAGTGATATCAAAGAAATTATGTCGGCACTGCACCAGATCCAAGAGAAAGCTCACAAGGACGGGCTTAAGAAGAACGAAGAGACCATTTCAAGGTGAGCCGAATCTATCGGTCTGGTCCAGTTTGATTATCGCGGAAATGTTCAAACAGCTACTATAGGCATTTGGATTTGATGCCTTTTGTATTCTTCAATTTTCAGACAAAGTTTCGCTGCTAGCATGTCATAAACTCTTCAAGAGACCTAAATATTCTGATAACTTCTTTAAAAATTTATATCAAACGGGGTCTGTGGAAGGAGAAGAAAAGAGCTAAAACCATAGATGATCCTGCGGAGAAATTTGAATTTCTAGTTAATTTGTTTGATGCCCGAAATTTTTATTCTGATTAATAATTTGGTTATATATAATATATGTCTGCAGTGTGAGAATTGCTTGAAGACTGAAACTGCCAAGTTCCGAGGACTCTATGAGAAGTTTAGCAAGGACAAAGCCAACCATCTACAGGCCTTGAAAGGTAGTTCCTTACAGTTTCCAAATCTTGTAATTGCATCTGATTTCTCTTCATACTATTAAGCGTTTCTGTGAAATGGATTGTAAATGTAATTAATCGCATAAATTCAATTAGATAGGTATTTACCTAATCAGCAACTAGCTTTTTTGTGTGCATATAGTGATTTAGCAAAGTTTCTTATCAGCAACTAGCATTTTTGTCTGCACATTTTCGGTTTCAGATTTATGGATACGAAGCCTCTGCTTTTTTATACTCTGCACACAGAACATGACATTGTCGACTGTCATCTTATGCCTGTAGCTCCATTAGTTTGGCTCCATTTTCCAGTAACAAGTAAAATTTAAGAGCATCATATCAAAACTGCAGATCAGGCCTTGCAATTATTAGCTAATATAACCCATCGACTCTGTTGAGCATTGTTGTTCTATTTGACACGACAGGCATCATTTCCAACTATGAAGAAGAGAATTGAAGGCTCTGCACATGATATGAACAACTGAGTAAGCAACAAAACTCCTTTACTCCTCCTTACAGTGAAATCGAATACACCAAAAATTTGTGATGGGTTGATGTCATGTCAGGAAAGAAAGAAAGGAGTTTGATATCTGAGCACGAGAAAGCTTGTACTGATAAAATTGCTAAACTGGAAGAGTCCTTGAAAAAGAAGAAGCAGGGACTACCCCTCTCTCTCTCTCTCTCTCTCTCTCTCTCTCTTCCTTGAAAAAAGAAGCTTGTACTGATATCTCCATGTATATATATATATATTTGTGCAACATGTCTCAAAACCACACATTTTCTGTTTATAAACTCAGGATGACAGCTTTCAGCGTTCTGAGAAAGACACTTGGCTCATTTACGAAGAACCTTGTCTATATATGGGGGAAACTTCATTTCCCTGGTTTTTATTTTTATTTTTGGAGAGGAGTGTTGGGATCAGTTTGTATGATAAATGGTAAACTGTTCTCAGGAATTTGTTCATTTCCCATGAAATCCAGATTTATCCTGGATGTTTGTATAAGATGAGATATCAAAACTGTTGTCTTTTAAAACACAACGATGATTTTAAGATGCACCGTTTTCTATTTTGTGTCGTGGTTTAACTATTTTGTAGTAGTTGGCCTACTCCTAAAAACCTGTATGTTTTACATACAAAATCTTCCTCACGTCGTGCCAAGCACGATGGTATGCTCGGATTGACGATATTTGATCATTCGATCAACGATAAGAGTTTTGCCCTATGTTACACGAAGAAGGACATGGGTTCACAGATATGTAACATGGTGGATTGACGATGATCTGACCGTTGGATTGCGATCAAACATCTAGGATGTGTTTAGTGGACCATAGTTGTCCTATAGGAATTTTTGAATCAGAATTATTTGGTCGTGGTGCCCACGTGACCAATTGACCGGATGATGGGCCTAGTTGGCTTGGTTGACCAGATGTCTTCTGAGGTGCTTGACCTTCGATTACACTTGGGACGATTCATGTGCGTCTCCCTTTAGGTTTCACATACACTTGGGATGATCCATGTACGTTTTCGTTTTAAAGCATCGGTTTTGTTATCTATTGAATTTAACACGTGTATATCTCAAAATACGTACCTCAACTCCGAGTACTTCCGAGGACAAACCCGTTCAAGGTTGATTTGGCTTGGGATTATCTATGAGTGGACTTTATTTTGCATGAGCTTTCAAATGTTTAATTATGGCATAATGTTCGTTTGGATTGGAACTTGGTATTTGAAATATGTCTTTCTCGGATTGGAATTTGTCAATGACTTACAGGGTTTACATGATTTGATATCTTTGTATATGTATATTTTCAAGTATATATCTTTATGTTGTGTTGTTGGTTAACTGGCTTCCTGCCACTTATTGTTTCATCCCTGTTTCTATATGAATATGATGAGATACTTTCAGGTCCTTAAGGTTAACAGGACACGCGGTAACGCCTTTGGAGGTGTGTTAGGATACTTTGCCTTTTAGGGGTCGTCTGCCCGCATGGGACAGGGATTGTTTCTATTGAAAATTCTGCAGTGTGTGTTTGGAGAGCAAAGTCCCCATATTGGACAACTCATCCCTAAAAACTGTGTATTGAGAATTTTGTCATGTGGTCTAGACAGTAGCGGTCCCCGTGTTGGACCGCTCATCCCTGGTACTAGTAGGTGTGGTTTGTGTCTATATATCTATATACTTATATAACTGAAAAGTTACTTTGCATGTTGCGTCTGGTGTTGTTTTCATAAATTGTATGGTTATTATATGAGAATGCTCCGGCTATATTTTTGCAAGCATGTGTCTCGGGAAGTGTATGCTTGCGGGTTGAAGGAATTTCATAGTACACTTATTCACGGTATTCATGGTTTTCAATATATGAACGAGCTTGCAATGGTTTCAATTATCATTATGGTATTTATATGCATATCTATATGGTTTTGCTCTCATTATTATTTTCAAAACGGCGGGATTAGTATGTTCGGTATACTTATGTTAAAAACTTTATTTTTGTCCACCCACTCAGATTTATCTCATATTTTTATCTGTTGTGTGCCTCCACAACTTACGAAGACGAGATTGACCACACCACGTTTAGGCATTTATTCCAATGTTTTGCCTTCCTTCAGCTGTAGTTTTCCTATTTTGATTATTTCCGTTTGAACTTCTTTTCAGTTTTGTAAACCTAATCTTAAATTAATTGCTCTGGATATTGTCCATGTTAGAGTTATGTTGAGGGCTTGCGGCCATTATTACTTGGATATGATTTTGATTTGCTTTGAAACTATGTATGTTGGATTGTTGGGATTAAATCATTGAGTTTTCTATATGTTAATATTTTGGGGAAATGTTCTAGTTACAGGGGGATCATGTCGGAATCTCGACATAAGTTTGATGCATGTTTTAAACAAGGCTAGGGGTATTCTAATAAAGTGGGCCCGACATCTATCATATATCGGACAGACATAGAGTTCGTCGTGGATTCCAAAGGAAAACCAAAGCGGGTCCTATCACTCAAGTAATCTACCCTTCTCAACAAAGAATCTCCATTCACCCGAAAGCTCACATCCTAAAGGTTATATATTGTAACATTGATAACTTAAGTTACACCCTACGTCAGAAGGAACCACTTAAGGATATATTTATACGCTCATATAAAACCCTAGTTCCACTAGAAAGAGTCATCCAAGCATTTTGGAGTTAGAAAACTTAAAGCATACACTAACAAAACTCAAAATACAAATAAGAAATACTTGAACCACTGAAGTCGACTTGTTGCCTTACACCGAGAGTGACACATTCTATGGTTGGCCGATGGATCACTCGTTAACCCTAACCGGTAACGGAGTATATCCACACCATAGACCACTAATTCGAGCCGCTATTCCCCAACATATTGTAATTGTAGTTCTTATTTCACTATCTTTATAACAATTTATATGTTTTTTTTTTTAAGGAAGGCTACCGATTATAGCATGTTCAGGAATCCACCGCTAAAAAAGAATGATTATTAGGATGATAATGTAATTTGTACTAAGATCACTTGTTTCTTCATATATATATAAGTGCTAGCATGCCCTTGTTTACAAAAACCAAGAGAACAAGAGGAAGTAAGCTCTCAATTTATTGTCAACACGTAGAAAACAGAAAGACATCATCACACACACCGGTAATTTACAAACAGAACACAACCTAGAAGGTAGGCTTGCGCACAAGAACAACCGAGTTGACAACTTCATTATTTGGATGGAAGATTGTAAGAAGCTCAAATCCCAGCAAGTCATGCTCCTCAACAACAGGGTATAAAAATGCTCTTGCCCCTTTTGCACTCCTCACAAGCAAAACGCTTCCCTCCTTCATGTACTTCCCAATATGCCCAAGAATCTTTATCTTCTCTTCCTTTTTCATGCCCACCAAGGCAGCCAAAAATATGCAGTCATATTCTCCAAGCCTCTCTCTAAGTTTCATTACATCATGTGTCTCAAACTTCATCCTCTTTGCCAGCTCAGCGTCCGAAGCAACAATTTTTCGAGCCACATCATTCGCCTTCTCATCAATGTCAAAGTTGTCGAAATGAGTGGATTTCAGGTGATGAGTAGCCATTATCATGGAAGTGAGAGGCATTGGCCCCGACCCAACAAAGGCTACCTTGTGTGGATGCACCACCCCATTGTCAAGGAGAATCTTGTGCTCCAAGTTGGCTAGGAGAACATAGTTGCCATAGTAAGGGAAGAGATTGAGATTGTTTAGAGGTTGAGGAACATTCACAAGGAGTGTGGCGAATTCAAGCTCCAAAAAGCCCTCGGCTCGGCCGCAAAGATTGATGAGACTCTCACGCATAGCTTGGGCTTCTTTGGACAAGTCCATGATATCTATGTCACATGGAAGAGTGCATAATTTGACCAGCTGAGAGAAAAGGGCATTGACTTGCTTTGAAGGTCGAAGAGAGTCAAGTTTGGAAATGCTTGAATGAAGTTGTGTAATGCGAGCTATGAGAAGCTGGGCAGGAATTTGGGTTTCCGAGTTGGAGATTTGGAGGGAAGCCATTGGCGATTAGTGAATACACTGTCGTTTATTGGAGTTTATGGATAGAAGCTCTGGTTTGGGTCTTGTGGAAAGGCTTTTCCATGTATTTATAGGAATTCAGAATTTGGATTGCATATGCTTCGTTTAAAAATCTCTAGATATGGTCAACTCAAACGGGGTGCTTCATGCCATAGGATCTTTGGTTTGTTTCATATAGGTATATATATGTACACATGCAAACTTTTCTTCTGCCCCCCCCCCCTTTCTTTTTTTTTTTTTTTTTTTTTTTTTTTTTTTTTTTTTAAGAAATCATATAAAAACCGACATTCTGTAAGAATCCTTTTATGATAATATGTGCCCCTCTTTTTTTTTCCTAATATTGAAACATAACATAGGTCCCAATTTATAATTTTCTCTTCAATTAAATTTCTTCTTTAAAAAAAATTGCATCGTGTGTGCGTCGAGTGCTAGCATATTAAAAAAGAAATAAAATTGTACCAAATCTTATATATCAAATTGGATAATCACACGTCAATGGGATCTAACTCAATGAAAAAGGGTATTGACTTGCTTATTAAAGATTTTATGTTCGAACCCTATGACATCTTTGTTGTGTGTATAAGAGAGAAACCCCTCCTCTATGATTAATATTATCCCTTATAAAATAAATAAATAAAATGGATGATCACACACCACCTCCACCATTATTAAATCTATGAGAGTGCATGTGCCATCAAATCCAAAATATTATTGGTTTATACAAAGTCCTAGGATCCAAGATGCCAAAAGGAGATTCGTTCCACACGCGTTTCCTTCCATGAATGGAAATATAATGAAGTAAAGCAACAGATTCTATAACTCCTTCATGTTCACACTTGAAATTGAATGTGTGAACGGAATTTAGAATCAGAGCTTATTGAGGTTTAAAGAGGCATGGGAAATGCCTGAGAGACAATCTCCTGGAGGGTCAAATTAATTGTATGTCCAAATTTTAAAGGTATATTATTTACATGCTTAGTGGAGAAAAAAAATTACATAGATATTTGGTCATCTACCCAAAATAAAATATTTTGACTACTTGTTGCCAGATATAATTACAAAAGTTTTTATAAAAAAAACCCACAACATAGCAATTATTATTGGGAGTTTCACTAAAACACCCAAAATGGGGACTGAAACTATTAAAAAACATAACACCCAAAACACTTTATAAACACACTCAAAACCCATCATTACACACACTCAAAACCCATTTATAAACACACCCAAAAAATATACAATTGTTGATTTTGGGGTTGATTTTGGGTGTGTTTCTATGTTTAAATAGTGTTTGGATTTTTTTTTATAAATATATGTATAGGATTGGGTTTATTTATAAATTTGTAAATTATTAATTGGCAACAAATTATTTCAAAACCAGGCAAATATGTATGAGCAAGCTAGGTTGCACAGACACTCCACTAAGTCGGAGTGTTGGACACTCGGACTCAGACACTTCTCGAATACTCCGAGAACACTCGTGTTCAACGGTCAACGCCGTATCCATGGTCAAGACACTCTATGAACACGGATCAACTCATACTCATTCTCAACTAATGTGTTTTTTTTTTAGGTCAAGGGACAACTAATATGTTAATTCAATTATAATTCGTATAAAATTAATAAACTACATTTGAAAGATTTGAAAATCTTGAATTTCACTATATATGGTATTGTGAAATTTGAATTATGAACATCAATATTTTTTTTTTGTTTAAATATATAAGTATTATTATAATAATAAGAAATTAATTGTTGTGTCCCGGTGTCCTTATTTTTTTGAGATATATCGTTTTCCCGTGTCCTCATATTGCGTATCCGTGTCCGTGCAACATAGAGTACAAGTTTGAGGTTGAGCTCAATCTTGTAGATTTTGAGCAGAGTTTTTTTTTATTTTAAAAAAATTTAAAATAAAAAGAGGAAAGATTTAAGAACAATCAAGCAGTGCCAACAGTTCATAGCTCACTGATAAGGGCATTGGCCTGCACGTCACTAATCTCGACAAACAAAAAAAAATACAAATCAAGTAGTTGAGCCCAGAGAAAAGACCAATCAGTCAAACTCGTGGAACCAGCGCTACCAATCTTAATTAGACATGTGTTTTGTTGTTCTTCTTCCATTTTATAATTTTATTATTCTTTTTGTATGTTTGCAAGTAAATAAGTAAGTTTAACAATTACTTTACTTTTCTCCTACAAATGTAATTGCAAAATATATTGCCCAAAAAAAAACCCAGAGGCTGAAACTGGATTAAGCTGATTGGGCTTTGATGCTGGATCAAGTCACTGAAACTTGACTTAGCCATGCAGCCCATGCCAGCCAGGTTAAACAATGGGTATTGGGTCTTTTCAGGGTCAATTATGAATCTCACTATATCACCAAACTATTCTATTACTATGAAATTTATTGTTTTGGCAGTATGATTAGAAATAACTAAATTGTTGTTTTCATTTGAGAAATCAATTTTCAGCTGTTGTATTTTCACAAATATTAATACATTTTAGACAAACATATTGCAGGAAGGGGATTCAAACACAAAATCTCTTGTGAATACGCCCTATTTTGATGGAGTTATTTCAAAGAAATGATTTGGATTTGACAATGAGACTAATTTTTATTTTTTATTTAAAGAAAAAAAGAAAATGGAAAACACTAGAGTGAATGTATTGAAATAACTAAATGTAGTATATTAGAATGAATTTGAAATTATCCGAGATAGAAGTCCTTTGGAATTAATTTGTTTTCTTCATTTCCTCATTTAAGTCTTTGCATACATGGATTGAAATAGTCTATACAAACAATTTAAACTTATAATGTGAATGTCATTTAAATACCTAAATTTGAAATCACTGCACCCAAATGGGAACCCAATCTTATGTGCTACAAACACCTTGCGAAATATTAATATCTAATATATATATATATATATATATATGTAATGACCATGTGAAAAAAGTAGGGTACTGCTATTCCCACCCTTGTCTTATTTTCCCATTCATATCATCTATAGGTAAAAAGTCTAATGATAAGTTTTGCCTTTTACAATTTGACATTTAAAACAAAGAAAAACATTACCCACCAAAAATCATTTGTGAGCATCCAACAAAAACTCAACTAGTAATGGGTGAAGAGTCTCAAGATCCTTTAAATACTATTACAAAGCTTTCATCCTTCAATGTGGGACACTCAACACATAGTTGGTGCTGCGGTGCCTTGAGTTGTTTGGGCGTGTTTGCATGTAGGGTATAACCTTTTGTAAGGGATCTCATTCTTGAGAGAGCTTTAGAGAGAGAGGTTCCTCCTTCTCTCTATAACTTACCTCCTCCTCCATCGTCTTCTCTTTTGAGTTGCAACTGGTGGTTTTCCTGTCACCCTTCGAGGCAGCTCCTTTGCCACCTTTGGTATGGCTTTTCCTTTTCCTTTTCCTCTTTGTTTGTTTTGATTTGCCCTTTCTCCTTGCTTTTCCTGATTTTGGCCCATATGTCCTTCCTAATTCCATATGCATCTCCTCTCCATTTTCACTTCAACCATCACCCTTCTCTCACCTCCTTCTCCTCTCCCAAATCCATGCTTTCTTCTAATGGTGGCAACAGCAACGACGACTTGTTTGTAAGGTTTTTGTATTTTTTGGGTTGTTTTGGGCCTATATTTTGTACTTGGAATTGGGCCTTTGTTTTCTTTTTTGTTGAGCCTTTGTTTTTCTTTTTCTAACTTCGTATTGGGATTTTTGTAATATCAGTTGGGTAATGACATGTTTATTCTTTTGACCCAAAAAAAAGAAAAAAAAACATTTTGTAAAGAAAACTGGTAAGAATACTGTGTTTGTTAAATAAAACTTTTGTAGACAATAATTTAATTTATTAAATACAAGCATCTTCGCACGCGTTTTCGCTCCTGCGATAGGCCTTTTAAAAAAAATAATAATAATAATTTATTTTAGAATTCAAAAAAATAATGGGTAGCTGTGTTCCATAAAAATAGGATCCATTATCAGATTTTTCTCTTAATTTTTTTTAAATATGAAAAAGTGTGAATTTACCATATTATCCTCATTTAATTAATAATTTCAATTCTTAATGTTTGCATTAACCAAGAGCATTTTATGGTATTTTGAATGTTTTACCATTCTCCGTCTTTTATTGTTTTATATATATAGATTATTAGCCAAACAGATACAAGAAAAAAAACCCTAAAAACAACTAAGACAAATTAAAGCCCAATGGCCCTACAAGATAACATCACAGTGGACGCAACAAGAACACACAGCAACTACCAATTGCCAATGCTCCACTCGGGTAATTATAAGCAGAGTTCTTCAGCACTTGAATGACTGACATTTAGAGTGCAAAATAATCAACTCTTAATTGTGTTTATAGCCAACGAAAAACAAGGCCATCAATTAATTAAGACGGTTGAGCCCGAGGCAGGGCAACATTGTCACGTTTCAAATCGTATTGATGCATGAAAATGACAGAAGCTAGGCATATCTTACAATGTGGGGTATGAACAATCAAAATCTTGACTCATTTCAATCCTAACATTGAAGCTGCTTTGCCCTTCACAATCATACATATTTTCATCATTATCGGTTTCCATCAGTTTCGACTCAGCTCTTCTTTGTCAGAGAAGTTTTATGAAGTCAATGATTTGTTTTCCTTATAAAAAAAATATACACACAAAATACTTTCTAAATGAGTTTGGAAAAGTTTCCTAAAGTGTAAAGACGTACGGTGGTAAATGTACATCGGTAGGTTATGTGTAGATAAACACCGTTTTGTTTCCTTTTTGGGTATGACCTATTAACTGTACGTATATCATTTAAAGACAACAATATATGATTTGATAAAAGATGGGACAGTTGCAAGGCAACTTGAGAGTTGAGATTCGAATGGTTGCAACTTGTAAATATAAAATATTAGGCGTCTTGCTAGAGAGGGGGAAAGTTGATCCATATCTAGTCATGATAATGGTGGATGCTTTAC